CTGCAACTATCTAAGGGAAAATACCATGTCAGTAATGGACCTGTTGGCTCGTAATCCACACTGTGATTCTGGATAGACTCTCTCTGCAAGCACCTGGAGCCTCTTCAGTACGACACGGGCAAGCAGCTTCCCTATAACACTAAGAAGAGAGATGCCACGGTAGTTGTTACAGTCACCCCTGTCGCCTTTGTTTTTATACAGTGTGATGATGTTTGCATCCTTCATGTCCTGCGGTACTTCACCTTCTCTCCAATAAAGACAGAAGATTTCATGTAGTTCAGCGGGAATGCTCTCTTTGCAGCACTTCAGAACTTCAGCAGGGATGTTATCTTTCCCAGGTGCCTTGCCAGAGGCAAGGGAATCCAGGGCTGCATTTAGTTCTTCTAAAGTTGGTTCACTATCAAGCTCCTCCAAGACAGGCAGGCACTCAATGTTATTTAATGCTTCTTCAGTTACCACATTTTCTCTGGAATATAACTCGGAGTAGTGTGTCATCTGCTGTGCTCAGTCCTGGATAACCTCACCTTTTGCAGACTTCAGAGGAGCAGATTTCTTCTGTGTTGGACCGAAGGCCAGCCTGATGCCATCATACATCCCCTTGATGTTGCCTGTGTAAGCTGCTATCTGGATCCAAGAGCAGAGCCAATAATCTTTAGCACATCTCCTAGCAGTCTGTTGGACTTTGCTATGAGCAGCTCACAGGACCTGTAGGTTGCACTCACTGGAACAAGCTTTACATGTAATTAGAGCTCTCCTTTTTTCCTCGATGGCTTGCATCAGCTCCTCCGAATGGGCTTCAAGCCAATTTGCTGTCTTTCTGGTCTCCTTACCAAATACTGACAAGGCAGTGTTATAAACAGCATTCTTGAAATATTCCCATCATTCAGATGCATTTGCTTCAGCCAAGCCTGGGAGAGTTTCCTTGAGCGCTTGTGAAAATTCCTCTACTTTGCTCTGCTTGTGGGTCTTGCTGATGTTGATTCGTGGTCTTCCTTCCTTCGAGTGATGCAATCTCTTTGTTTGCAATTTTATTCTGCTGCACACCAAGGAGTGGTCTGTATCTCAGTCAGCACCCTGATAGTTACGTATGGTTGTAATACTGGGAAGGTTGGAGCGCCTGGTAAGAATCAAGTTGAGCTGGTGTCAATGCTTTGACCTTGGATGTCTCCAAAAGACTGTGTTGAGGCTTTGTTTTAAAAAATGTATTGCTAACGCAAAAAACGTACCATGTTTCCCCGAAGATATGACATGTCCTGAAAATAAGGCCATGCCACATTTTTGGGGTGGATAAAAATGTAAGCCCTCCCCTGAAAATAAGCCCTCTGCCCAGGCAGAGCGCCGCACACTGACCTAGCANGCTTTTACAATCTTTTTGACACTGTTGTGGAGTTTTTTGAAGACAAAAATGCTTTGCTCAGTGGTGAACTCAGAGATCAGATACTACTTTGATAGTTGAAAAATGATATGGATGCTTTTACTATGAAACTAAGCACAGTGTAAGAACGGGACTATGATTAAGTATTACAAAGGTAAAGAAATGACTACTTTTAAAGCTGGCAATGAAAATATTAAAGTGGGGAGTGGCTTCTACCTTTTAGGATTGACTATCAACTAAAAAAACCAATAATGAAGAAATGTGGGTGATCAATGGAAAGGAAAGATAGAATAACTTGATTAGAGTAGCGCAGAGTACATAATTATAAGAGCTATATAAATGATGGGTGTCAAACTCGATTGCGTCCTGTGGTGCATTGTGACATTTTTTGACTTTGTGGAGCCGGGGTGGGCATGGCCTGCGTGTGATGCATTCGGCCCAAGGGCAGCCAGTTTGATACCCCTGATATAAATGATCACAATGAGTCAACACAGAATTTATGGTAATAATGAAATTATTTAAACATGGACAGCATTTTCTCTAATCCATAAGAGCAGGTAATATGACATGTAGGTCTGCCAAAGGAAATACATTGCATCTTACTTTTGAAAACACTGTCCTACGTTTGGGATATAGAAGAGACAAAAGATAGTTAGCAGGTCTCCTCAGAAGCACATAAACCCTATATAGTTTTTTAATTGACCAAATTATTGATTCTCTAATGTAAATTTCTCTTGCTGTTTTCATAGCCATCTGTTTCACTGAAAAAAACTGATAATTTAATCATTATATTTGTTGTCTCTGAAATAACATGGTGCTTCCATGATCCATATGGAATCTGCTATCTTGTTATGTGTAACAAGGTGTCTAATCTTGGGATCACCAAAACCATTACAGAAAAGGTTCCTTAGTCCAGGCGTGAAATATGAGAAAGAGACTCAAAAATAACTCCATCCTAATTATACTAGATATAAATTAATCTGGCAGTTGCTTTGATAGGCAGCACCAAATGACAGTTTTCTGCTACATTACTCGTAATAGCAATAAATATATTTTCAGAAATTTAAGTTGTTGTTTTCTCAGTTTGTAAGCCTCATAGGTCTTTACACGTGTCTTTGTTATTGCCTTTTGTTTACCTACTTTTCCATTTCACTTCTCCTTTTTCCTTTTCTAATGAATTCTTGTAAGTCTTTACCTTCAGTTTACAGAGTTGTTTGTCTGCATATTTGAAATTGTTAGTTTGTTAGCATTCAATTTTGATTCCAAATGTCCTCTATTGCAACCTGCCATTCTTATAATGCATGAACTGTATTCATTAAACAAACATAAGGAGCATGTGCAACCTTGCCTAATATAATGCATACATTTAAAATGATCAAATGGAAAAGGGAGCATGTTATGAAACAAAATTCCAAATCAAATATATTTGTTTCCAATTATATTTTTTTAACTTCATATATGCTAGGAGGAAGTTGAAAATTACTGGAGAGAGGGCAATCAATACTTCTCTGTGAAAACCCAAAATGGTTGGGGTCAAACTAGATTGCATGTTTATTTTCAAGGTTCACTGCCAAGGTACAAAGCAGAAAGTATCTTCTAGGGATAATATAATTATGAAATTGACTAGCACTACATGGGGAGCACAACTTGAAATCCTGGTACTTCAGCCCTTGCTCTATGTATTTTCTGCAGCAGGATATGCAACACTAATCTGGCAGAACTCCTTTCATGTTCAGCATGTTAACGCTGCTCTCAACAAAACGATATGTATTATAACAGAATGTTTAACACCAGCATCTACTGATTAACTTTATCAGTTTTGGGGTGTTGCACCCCCAGACATGGGAAGAGTTGTGGCAGAAATAGAAAAGAAAAAAAAAACAGCAAAGAGATCCCCAGCTTCCTATGTATGGACCTGAGCCCCATCCCACACAACTGAGGACAAAAAATGTTTTTTTCAGATGACAGAATCAATTCCATTAAATCCAGAAACCCATTGAGTAGAATTATGGTGTAATGTGAGCTACAGTGAAAATTGTACCAGCTTTAAACCTATGGCTGAATACCGTCTCACATATGGAAAACTTTGAACAGATTGAGAATGGGGATGTCATGATGTAAGAAGAATTTGGAGACTTGGGGCTATATTGTAGGAGATGGCAACTGCGAATGGGAAAAATTGCAGAATCCTGACTATTGATATGTCACAAACTTGATGGATCATGTACAGTGGACGGTTTGTTCCTGGCCTATGATAAAGTCACTACTATCCAAGCCACTACTTTCTTGTCCTCAAATGCTATATAATATTACATAAGTGTTTTAAATTTCTTCTGTGTTTTAATTTTAAATTCCTTATAAAGTTGATGAAAGTTTTCTTTATTTAGATTATTATATTAATTTTAAGTACAATGTTTCTCTTTTTAATGTAAGTTGTTTTGGACTCAAAAAATAAAAATAAATAACCTTATATATACTCAAAAGCTATTTTCACCATAGTTATATGATGTTATATGATGTTATTTCTTAAAGTGTATTTATCTGCTTAAGTAAAAGAGATAAAGAAAAATTGGGGCAATTTAGAGCAAAATTGGGAAAATAGAGGTGTTAGGAATCCAATTTATCAATTTATCTTATAGTAAATGGAAGATGTCTAAATCCACCATGGTAGATATTGTATGAGAATCTCTTTAACAAGCTCTCAGAATTCCAATCTTAAAAATTAACTTTGATAGTGACTGAGACTCAAAACTGAGAAATTACTGTTTGCAAATATTTATATATTAGAAAACCAAGGTTGGAACTTTGCTTCTGTTAATATAAACTTGTGGATTTCCCAGAAGACAGTTGAGGTTGCTATAATCTATAATTACAGAATCTAGAATTTCAAGAACAGAAAATGGCACAAAACAGGTGCCAGAATTTCTGCAATATTCCTAAATAGTACCTGTGGACTTCCAAATTGAAATTACTTTTGTAAAAAAAAGAGAATTTTTTTTTACAATTCAGTGATGTTTATCTCTTCTTCACTTGTGGAAATCATTTCCAGTACATCCATTCAATAGAAAGGGGCATTTAAACCTTCATTTCTGCTTGCTGAAGTTTATGAAAATTGAAACATGTCATGTATGTTCCAACTAGGAACTAATCAGTGTCCATTGATGGAGAAGAAGGACTAAAGCAGATTTGCAGCATTGCGTGGCAAGCCCCCTCTTTTGTAATGTACATAGTGATATTGCATGCATGTACAAAGGTGCAGAATTTGTGGTGTGATTCTGTTTCCATCTTTTGAGAAAAAGAGCAAGATCCTGCTGGTGCTCTTGATACTTATTTAGTTTGTCCTATTTAGACAGATTTATTGCTCAGAGGTTAAGCCACATGTTGCTGAGAATGGAGCCAAGAAGACAAAATATTTATATAGGAGGATTTCCTCTGTGGCTTTCTCTGTTTAATATAGCAGATTTGAGGCTATATAATGTAAACCAGATGTCAGCATCACCAGTTTATTTGCTGCCAGGTTTTTTTTTAAGTACTATATATTTTTGTAGCTTCAGTAATTCTTTCACTGCAAGCACCAATATTTTTGGCATATGCTCATATTCATCTCTTCCTTTTTATCTTTCAGATTACAGACTTGTGTGGTGCTAAACATGTCGGTTATTTTGGTCGTACTCAGTTTTATGCTGCTCTGAAGCTTATAGCTGCTGCACAGTCTGGTCTCCCAGTACGAATAGAAAGTATTCAGAATGGTAACTGATTAGACTCAATTGCTTTACTTTGGACAATTTTATTTTTATTTAATAAATAAAATTTAATATTTTATTTAAAATATTTATTAAATTGTCATTATGTTTTGTAAATTTTTTTGCAAGACATCATGGAAGAAAATGTAAATGATTGTAAGAGGGAAGAGAATAATAAACCAATAATAATAAACTAATAATAAACAACAAAAACAACAGCAAACAGAAAAAAGAAATCCATTTCAGTAAAAGCTGAATAGAGCCTATTGTACTAAAAATTTTAATAAAAATTTGATTTTATGAATTCAGGCTCATTAATATCCTGTTATGAAAGCTCAGTATAGTAGAAGTAAGACTGCAGAACTTTAAAAAGCTGTATCATTGATTAAACTATCCCCCAAATATAGATCTATTTCTAAAGCTGTTGCACTTGGCACCCCTAACTGCATTTGAATGCAGTGTAGACTTAACTCCCCTCACCTGCCTATCTTTCCTCATGACTTTCCTTTTGGCCACCCTGCACTCTTTTGCTTCAGTTGACCTTTGCCATCATCTTCTTCCCCTTGCTGACCAAGGAAACCTGGCCTGGGCTTTAGCGAGACAGCTGGTGAAGGGCCAGACTGGGAAATCCTCATCAAGAATAGGAAGAAGAAGTTGGTGAAGATTACTTGGGGTTGGCGGAAACTGCAGAGTGCAAAGGGTTGGAGAGCAGAAGAGTGGCAGAGATGGAGGAGTGCAGGGGCGATTGAAGGGCTGATGGAATGCCTAATGGAAGGGGCAATGAAGGTGGGGTGGCCAAAGGGGCAGAGGTGGAACAGATAGGCAGGGGGAATTGAAGTGGAGGTGAGGGCAGTAGGGCAGGAGATGCATCAGTTCCTCACCTAATGATGGCACAGTATTCTCCTAATAACTGCAACAAGGATTACCAACAATGCAGTCACTAGGCATCCTCACATGATATTTTGCCTAGTGACCACATCACTCACCAACTGAGATTCTAGTACTAATTAGGCAACTAAACTGAAGACTTCCTGTAAGCAGAACTTAAGACAACTTACATTAAGCTAGATCACCATTGGTCTCCAAAATTTTAAAAGTTCAACTAGTCCTTTTAATTTGGGTCAATGCAAGTAAGAACAATAAGTCCAATAGGCCCAATATGTCTTCATAATCTAGCTTTCTAACCATAGTTTAAATTATATGACCCAATTTTGCATCCTAGTTGAGTTTCTAGTTGTATGCAAGGTTTTATGATATTGCAGAATAAAATTTCCCAAAGTTGCTAAATTATAAAATAGCTATAATAAAAATTGGAATGAAATATGCCCTTTATAATGGTGGAAGATTCATTTGTAAAACAATTGCTATGTGGCTAATTATAATTATTACAATCAAATACTTAACGTCTCATTAACACTAGCTCCAAACCATTATATCAATGAATTGTTTTATTTAGGTATTATAATTTGCATTAAAATTGCTAATCTAGAATGAATGAGATTGATCTAGTGTGAGGCACTGGATATGTATTTTGACTCCTGTTATATTTTATAGGGTTTGTATCCTTAAAAATGTATTAGTGATTGTAGCCCAAAATAGTTTCCCTCCAAATTGAATGCAACTAATATTTATTATAAATATTTTAGCTTTATAAAGAAATCTGCACCAATGTTAAGTCTGATGCAGCATTAATTATTTCACTAAATTGTTGAAAGTCAGCCAATCTGATATAAAAGGTATTATAAATTAATTACATCATCTTGGTTTTGTCATTTTTGCATTATATAATATTATGCATGCAT